AATATTTACTTAGTGAACATACATAATCACCCGCTTGCTAGTTTTTGCTACGATTTTTCGGATCTCGTCAGGATTATGTGAAATTGCAACGTTTTGGCTGCTACCCATCGCCTAGCATTTAGCTGCCGCCCCGATTCAACATTGAATTCTTTGTGATTTAACTCCATCTGACGGATCAAACCCTCGCCACTGCGTGCGTTGCGTCTGAGGTTGATTTTCAGATCAATGCATTACGTCGTGGCATACGGGAGAACTAATGTTGACAAAATGATCATGGGTTAAGATCGGATGTGTTTTATTTGGAAATCTACTTCCTGAGATAAATGTAGACACTACTGTTCAAGATGCACTGTAGGAGATTTCGAGTCCACTACTTTTTCATCCACTAGATGTTCGCCACTCATCTGAAATGGTGTAAACACTATATAGCGCTCTACACAGAGCTTCATAGGGCCCTGTATAGTGCTTAGGGTGGACATTCGGACACAGTCAATGTCTACCGTTGCCTCATGCTCATCCAGGAGGAGCGTGAGCTTTTGTGCTGAAACTGATCACGTTAACAGTCAATCATCTTCTTCTACTTTGTGATCTTGGGAAGCTTTACACTTACTGCTATGTTTTTGGCTCAGGTTGTGGTCAATGATTTTATTTAGCCTTGAGTTGTTTCATCAATGTCCGCACTTTATTGATTGTAAAAAAAGGCACTCTGATCTCAGGCTGGGTGTGTGATGGAAGGCAATTACAATTCTAGCCATTAAGTATGCGGAGCTGTCTTCCTAAAGCTAAACATCCATTTTATGGAGAAACCCCAAGTGTCAGAAGAAGCACCCTTTGACCTGAGCATGACTCAACAGTCTGCAAATGCACTCCATCTTTCTCCTATACCCCCCAGGAGTGTCTCTTTACTCTGCAATAGTAGAAAAAGAATCATCCTTCCAACAAGTGGCCCCTCATAGCTGCAGTGCATTAATCTTAGTCATACAGGCTTTACCAGTTGCTGCAATGTCAATCCTCAAGGGATGCAGCTAGAATTCACTGCCAATGGTATCAGCTTCCACAAGCAAAAATATACACTATAACAGCAGAAAAGGACTGTCATTAACAGATCTACTGTGGGATCCCGTCTACAGGAAAACCACACCAGACTAAGTATCTCCCATGAGGAACTCCTTCACAGGCAGCTGATGACTTACATTAGTAATAGGGGTGTAAATCACATCCATCATGCGATTCGATTCAGTATCGATTTCCTGAGCCAACGATTCGATTATTTTCGATACTCAAGAATACACCACGATTCGATTCGATTAATCGACTAATGGTTTTTTTTTTTTTTTTTTTTTTTTTTTTTTTTTTACACCTTACAGGCTAAACAAAGTTTCAAGTTTGAAATAAATCAATGAAAGCTGTAATATCATTATGCATTTTCTTTAGAAACAACAGCAAATAACAGAAGTAGAAAAGTTGCATCAAAAAATACTACAAAAATACTGCGCAATATCAGTGTAATGAGTTCAATGCAATACCTCGGCTCCAGAGAAACTGTCCAACATATTTTTTTAGAATGTAATAAATATACTCAGGAAAGAGAGATGTTGCTTAGAGAGTTAGACAGGAATAAAAATAAACTACATATAAGGGAATTGTTTCAAAGGTTTTTTGGTAGTATTTTTAATTTTCTAAGAAGAACGGGTATTTTAGGGAGAATATAATAGTTTGTCTGGTCCATACTACATTCTGGAAGGTGGCGGTAATGCACCTATAAGTTGTTTGCCAACCGCCATAAAAAAAAAGAAGAAGAAGAAGGCTTCAGAGTGTCGACGTCACCGCCCCCTTGAGAGACGCTCCGCTGCTCCTCTCCCAGATTGTAGCTGACCGCAAACAGTGCAGCAGACAGGAGGCCGGCTAGTTTTGTTTTTATGACCGAAATTGCGGAAAACAACTCGTGAAGTTTGACTCGCTAGAAGAGCGAGGTGCACGAGAACGCTGGGACCCTTTTTCCAGCTGAATCTCCGCTCTTTTGGCCCTCATGTCCCTTCGTCGTCGGACTAAACTCGCCCCCACTTCCTCACCGCCTCGGCCGTATCTAGACCTACAGCGTGTAGCCCAGACCACGCTTCAATACTGAGCATAATTTAAAAATGTCTGTGTGAAGCTTGCTGCAACAAACTGCTGTAAGAGTATAACCAGGAAGCGCGGTAGGAGGGAAAAATAGGTTTAGCGGCACCGCACCATGGGAGGGAGAATTACGCCCAGGAGCAAATGGATAAAAATAGACCGGAGGAAAAAAAAACATGAATCGATTATCTTGCGGACGTGTCGATGCATCGGATCGTCGGCTTTTGGATCGATGCATCGATACAAAACGATTATTATTTACACCCCTAATTAGTAATGGAAGGAACTCTTAAAAAAAGGTGTTTTAGTGACATTTTAGTGACTGTTTTATTTTGTTGTTTCCACTTTTATTGTAAGATGGTTTTATCTAAAAAAAAAAAGGTGTACTTTACACGGAGCAGATACACGTGTCTGTAAAGGATAGAAAAAAAATACTTGAAAGCTTTAAAGATTTACCCATACATTTATTAGGCACCTGGCTAAAAGTGGGGTAAAGGTATGTTACAAGGACATGTTCTATGTGGAGTTATGTGTGTTTTGATTATGTAAATTATTGTTTATTTTGTAAGCTAATGTTTAAGCTACCCTTAATTCAGACTTTGGCATCTTTTGGACTATTTCATGGAAAAAACTATTTGTAAGAGCTGATTTTTTTCCCCTTTTGTTTCTATCCATAGTTTTACAGTGTTTCACGAAGGATTCGTGTGCAGAAATAAACGGCTGTGCAAGAATAAAGTTAATTTTTGAAACATCAGTACACTCCCATATTGTTTTCCTCGGGTTCACTACAGATAATTCCACATAAACAGAGAGGGTGAGGCTAGCGAGCAAAGGGATAAAACATGTCCTGGAGAGCCCCACACTAGCCTTCAAGCTTTTAATTTAACTGTTCATTTATTTCAAATAATTCATGAATGTTTGGAGAACATATACAGTTTATACTCTGCAGAATCTGTTCAATCTCTAACGTTATGATGCCTTTCCTTTTTCTAACAGTAGCTTTGCCTCGCCTGTTCCTGTTTGGTTGTGACTCCATCCTGGAGAGAAATACCAGCTGTGCTGCTGCCATCAACACCTTTGTTTATACATTTTGGAGATTTCTTCCTGTTAAAAGAGAGTTTTCCCTCTCCACTATCACTACAAGCATGCTTAGTGTGAGGGATTGCTAAAGAGTCAATAAGTTGATGCAATCAAGTGGTTTTCCTTAGATAGAAAACTTTGACTCGATGATCTGGTAAACTGTAAAGTGCCTTGAAGTGCCACGTGAATTGGCGCTATATTAAATAAACAGAATTATATTGAATGAAAAATGCTAGACAAGACACACAGTACTAGGAAGTTGGCCAGCAGGTAGATGTGCTTCTCTCTTTGGTCTCCACCTGAAGAAAGCAACTCTACTCAGGCAGTCAGTCTTATATTAGTATGAGGTACTACAACAACAACAATAATGATAAAAATAATAATTATAAATTACAACTTATATTTGTATTGGGATTTATAGATGATATATGCAATGAAACAAGAACATTTAAATATAATACATGTGAAATGAAAGTATTTCTGAACTGACTTATGTTTCCCTCCTATCTCTCATTTCGAACATTATCTTCAAACCAGTAAATCCAAAGGACATTCTGCCTCATCCCAACTTTGATGATGAGAAGGAGGGGGATTTTCCATTAGGCAATACTAGGCAGTTGTCTAGGGGCCCAAGTTCCTGGGGTCCCCATAAAACTCCATTTAAATGTATGGTTAATACAACTATTCCTTATTTGTGCACATTATGCTTTTGATAAAATTCCATAAAAAAGCAGCGAACTCTGCTCTCCAGAGCAAGTAGATTGGTAACCCCGCCTCCTGCTCTCCTCTACCTTGTCTGCTGTCATGATTCATGCAGCTATTATTTCATCCAAATGAAAAATGGAGAACAGATAAGCAGATCATGGCTTGTCTACAGTGAAAAGAAGGACTGGGTTATTTACTTTGGCCTTTTTGGAAACACAGGAAGGAGCAATCAGCTAAGTGAGCTTAGTGCTTGGAAAAAATCTTTCATTCCTTTTGAGAACAAATCATAGAGAGGAAAACAACAAACAGGACAAAAGAAGAGGGACAAAATTTCTGTATCTGTATGATGGGTCTGTTTTATGTGTTTTCTTCTCCATTCAGAGGGCCTCCCGCATGTCTTTGCCTAGGGCCCCAAATTTCCTAAATCCACCCCTGCATTGATGTAAGTTCAGTTCAGTATTCAACTTTAATTGATAATATGTTACGCCCTCTAAATATTCTCCTGACAGTAGTGTAAACATTCTAGTAGAGGAAAATGCTGTGCACATACATTATCAAATGTCTGCAGTTAAATATTGTTATTTGCCATCAACATGCACAGCAGCATATCAGCTCCCCAACCTCCTGCTATTCCTGAGCAGGAAGGTACAACAGAGACAGGTGATAAAGGTTCAATTCCACTTACAGACACTCTTTTTGCTCCAGAGCAGGGTGTCTTCTGCCAACTCTGCCTCACCTGCCTCGCTCTCCCTATGGGGGTCTCTTGCTTTGGTCTCTGGATTAGACATTGGGCAGAGCGCACCAGGGCAGGGTAAGGTCTGCTAACTCAGCTCCACTCTGGCGCATTCTCTACCGAGGAATCATCTTAAGGGTGGGGGTGGTGGGCATCTCAACTCTCATTAATCCATCCAATCTATCCTTATCAGCTATGCTTAGCTTTACCTTTTTGTCTGTAACGAATCTATACAACATTTGGGTTTCTCTGTTAGAAAATGTCTCTTTCAGTTTTTCTAGATTTTCCTTTTTTCATGCATTTGTCTGGAGTTCTGAAGCTTTACCTTTTGTGTGTCTTTGCGGCAGTTACTCTAATGTCTTACCCTGTGACAGTCTCCTCCAGAGAGCACCTCCTGGATGAACACAGCGGGACCGTCTGGCCTGTTGGAGCCTCCCCCAATGGTGATGCCCAGACTACTGGATCGTGCAACAGAGATGAGTTGAATCACTCCTTCACCAGGGTGACTGTGAACACAGATGCATTTCAACACTTAAACAGGAAGTGAGGAAGTATTTTTCCTTCATTTCAGAGATACTTTATAAAGGCCGAGATATGCTAGCCTGTTGGGCGGCCTCGCTGGTCTGTGCACTATGTGGGCAAGTCATTAGACACGTTCAAACATTTATAATTGACACGGATAGTTGCAGTTTTAACAAAAAACACACACGAGGGCAGTCCTAAACATGACAAGCAAAAACAAGAGAAGAAACAGCATTCCATTTTCTAGAATATAGGATGATTGAAGGATAGTAAGTTCACTGCAGCTGCACATCAAAGCAGTGGGCTAAAGAGGTAGAAGAAGACGGTACATTACAAACAGAATGAGAGTGAAGACAGGGAAAGCAGCCTGCTTGTGAGGCCCATATGGATATTTTAACAGATAAAAAAAATAAAACATTGTTTAAATGATAAAAGCTGAGTGCTTTACATACTGTCAGAAGCTGTTATAGTCTTAATTTATGCTCTAGGTCAGTGTTTCCCAATTTACAACTATCAATAACTAATTATAAAATTAAAACTATTTTACTTAATCCTTTAACTTAGGAATTTAATTCTTAGGCATTTTCAATCAATTTTTAAAGGCTTTCCATCTTAAATAAAAATACATAATAAATATGTTACTTGGAAGGTAGTAAGAAACGACTCGCAATTCCTAAGGGGCGGACTCCTTCTTCTGGTCCAATTTTCATGTTTTCTAAGGCAGAACAAGTTTTTGGGCTACTTATAAAGCTTCAACTCAACGCTAATTCTGATATTTTGAATTAAAAGCTTCCTGGATGGGAAGCGAAATGTCTTCAAACTTGGAAACAAAGTCCAGTGGATTGTTTTTAAACTTTTTTTGGAATGACCATGACCTGGATGACTGAGAATCTTTACCAGCATATTAGTGAGGAATCGAAATAAATACAAAATAAAATCATATTATAAACCTGTATCTAAGTGGAGCTCCTCTGAGCAACTCCCTTATAATTTAATTTAAACTTGATGAATTGGGAACAAAAATTATAGTCACACTGACTTAATTACTTTAACTTTAGTTTCATCAAGACACCTAAACTGCTGATGAGCTCCGACAGCTCAGTGTGAAAAACACAGGATCTGTGAGGATCGGAACCTCTAGTTGGGCTATGGATTCCTGGATCTCAGAACTGTCCTGTTAGGAACTGTTCCCCTGACCTGGATTTGTCTCCTGCCTGCTTACTGGGGTTGCAGCATTGGGAACACTCTGGACGGCTCTGCGCCGCTTCACATTGGCAGTCCATCGGCTGGATCCTGCCTCGCCCGAGAGGATGGACTGAACTGTTAAACCAGGTAAGTGACTCACAGGGATAATCATCTTCTGTCAGATTATCGTCGTCACTTACCTGTGTTTCTCCCACAACCAGAGTGCCAGCGATGGGTGTTGCCCTACCTCCCCCAGCAGCCGCTGCATGTCCGCAGATCCACAGCAGCCCGTGTTCTGTTTATCTTTGTCATTAAACATTTTGAAACTTCCCACTGTCTGTCTTGCCTAAAAACTGGGTCCATCTGCCCCATTTAATGTAAGAAACATGTGATATTCATGCCATTATGCTTAGTTAATACCAAGCAAGAAGGTACGTTTTAAAAAATTCTCTGAAATGTAGCATTTAAACCAAAGACTGCTCCAAGGTGACCAAAGGGGGCTTAACCACTTCTGTATATTGGGTATATAAGAAACCAAGAACCTCTTAATATTGTCATTGACATATTTGTATAATAATTCTACTCATTGGAACAATACTCTAACTTTTTGAGTTTCTAGTTGATTGGGGAGAAGTTTGTTGCAGTAAAGTTTTGTTCTGACTGCACACACAAAAAAACTAAAACAAATTGATTGTTACATCTCTGGATCCCTTCTAAAAGCAGCTTTCCCATCAGATAGTCTTGCGACTGTAATGTTAGAAACATTGTTGGTCAAGAAATGAAGAAAAGTCAATGAATTTTACCTTAGGGAGCGCATCATGGCCCCACCATTGTACATGTTCTGGGAGCCTGCAGGGCTGAGTAGCAGTGGACTTTGAGAGCGGGACGACGAACCAGATGAGGTGCTTTCCAAGAGGCGACCTCCTTAGAAATGGAAAAAAAAACAAACATGCTTTTTTTTATACACAGAAATAGAAGTAAGGAACTTCAGTGAGAGGTTGAAAGGAGAGTAGCATATTAATTAGATGTACATGAAAATGAGCATGTAAATGACTTAAATATAAGTGACTTAAATATAAGCTCTTATCAGTTTCTCACAGCTACAGATCAGTGCAGAGCATTTCCATTGATATGTGGCTCCTTGTTCTGGATTGGTTTGGCTTGAGTGACACTAAGTAGAGAATAACACCCCACATGCTTACTAATGTAAACCTCCTCCAGAGTTTCATTTTATACTACATTGGTTAGACATCTGCTTCTTTACTGTCCTCTTAATCAAAGACAAACTTGTGTGGATGTTTAACATGCAGGACTTTCAGAGCAGATCTTAAATAGTAACATCTTCTTTTTTATATCTACCTAAAGTTCCTATAATCCAATAGGAACTAGTTCATAAGTTCCAATTAGACCAACTCTTTGTGCCACAGCTCAATAGCTTCTTTTATTTGACCAATAAGCTAAAGTTATATAGATCTTCTAGAGCTTCATGCATGGATTCTGGCATCAGCCCAGAATCACTCAGAAATAGTCACCATAACCCGACATGTTTAACATGGCTGCCCCGGGTCAAAGCTAAAGCACTGAAGCCCTATTTAGGAAATCTTTACCGGCTGACTGCTTCTTTCAAAGCAGATATTTCCAGTTGTCCATTTGTCCAAAGCCATTTTAAGGTTAACTGAGCGCAGCACGCCTTTGGGCTTAATCATTTCCAAAGCATAAAGCAGAAAGTGGTAAAAGTTCCTCTGAGTTAAAATAATGGGCTGAACTTCTATTATTTGGATTCTGGTGATGCTGTCTAATTTCTTTTAGGGATAAGCCTACCTTGCTGAATGGGGGAGTTGCGAGTTGATCCTGTGCTGCCATTGGAGCCATATTTCTCTAGAAGCTCAGCAAATTCTCTCCTTAAAAAAAAGGTAAAAGGACAAAGTACTGTCAAAAACGCTGTAGGGAGAAGAGGATAAGTTGGTTAAAGAAACATCAAGCGTATATCTTTAAGAACAAAGGTGTCTCATCATGTTTTCTTTGTTGGACAAAAGACACATCTAGGCAGCAGGGTTGTGTTTCTTCCAGACAAATGGAAGAAACTGGAAGAAAGTCTGGATAATAGATCATATTTTGTAGAACTGGGATAGTTGCAATGAAAAATCAACTCACTATATCCACCAGGCTACATAAATAGAAATCTTTATCATAATACAAACAGTGAAACATTTTAAGAATTCATATAATTTATTCAGTGCATGTAATACAAATATAGATGAATGAATAACTATTGGTCACGTGTATATTCAGATTACACCAGCTGGCTTTTTTTCTTTCATTTCTTCAGCTATTCATGCCCCCAAACCACCCCGGTTTATAGATATTGAACCCCACCTCAAGTTTATTACTTGATTTGGGCTTGCTTAAAGCAAAATATTCACCAAAAGAAACAAAACTTCCAAGTAAACTGGACCTTCCAAGTTTCTTCCAGAATCAGTTTCTCCCGACCGGGAAAATCCTGGAAAAAAAATGCAATCCAGAAGAAAGTTCCAACCCTGCTCTATGGCACTCTATTAAATAGACTTTACTTAATATCCTGCCGTTTTCATAGCATATGTGTTTCTGTGAGAACACCAGCTATTAAAATACTGCCTTTCTCATGAAGTGCCACCTTGATGCTTGTCTAGACTTGTTTTTTTTTTTTTCTAATAGAGAAAACCTGATGTACAACTCTGTTATGAGAGTTTTTGGTGCTCTGTAGATAACGTTTACAGCTGCATGTTGATCAGGTAACAGAGGAAGTATTTAAACCATGTGACCACACAAGAGGGAAGAACTTTATATCAGAGGCAAGATGCACCAATCTGATTGTATCTGAATCGGTCCAGATATTGAAGAGAATTCTACATCAGGTATTGATGAAAATTCACCTGTTCCACAAAGGCCAATATATTCAGTCGATTTAAAAAAAGAATTAAGCTAATCTTCTCCCTATCTCTCTGATTTGCTTAAAATTTCAACTCCCCCTGGCATCCTTAGATCTTTCTCTACTACTCACTTCGTTGTTCCTTCCACCCGTCTTAGCACCGTGGGGAGCCGAGCTTTTTCTCTGTGTGTCATCCTCTGGAAATCCCTCCCCCCTTAGATCTGCAATACTGAGTCTTTGCTTGTTAAAATCAAAACCCACCTGTTCAAGATTGCTATTTAACAATCATCTTTTGTTACTTTCCGTTGTGTGGTTTGCGTATTTTCTTTTAATTATGACAATGTTGCTTTAATTTCTTATTGTTTTTACCTTTACAGTGGACTTGAGTGTTTTTGAAAGGCGCTTGAGATAAAATGTATTATTATAATTATTATAGTCGCGGTACACTGGATGAGCTATATACCCCCCATCGGGTGGATCTGGAGAAGGCGTTTGACCATGTCCCTTTGTGGGGCCCTGTGGGGGGTACTCCGGCAGTATGGAGTCCGTGGCCCTCTGTTAAGGGCTGTCCGTTCTATGTATGACCGCAGCAGGAGGTTGATTTGCTTTGCCGGCAGTAAGTCAGACCTGTTTCCGGTGCATGTTGGTCTCCACCAGGGCTGCTCTTTGTTACTGGTTCTGTTCATTACATTTATGGACAGAATTTCTAGGTGCAGCCCGGAACTGGAGGGGGTCCAGTTTGGGAACCTCATCAGGATATTATCTCTGCTGTTTGCAAATGATGCTGTCCTCTTGGCCTCATCAAACCAAGACCTTCAGTGTGCACTGGCGTGGTTTGCAGAGGAGTGTGAAGCGGCCGGGATGAGGATGGTTCTCCAATGGAGAAAGGTGGACTACCCTCTTCAGGTCGGTGAAGAGTCCTTGTCTCAAACGGAGAAGTTCAAGTATCTCGGGGTCTCGCGAGTGAGGGACGGGTGGAGTGTGAGATCGATAGACAGCTCGGTGCGCCATCAGCAATGATGCGGTCGCTGTATCGGACTGTCATAGTAAAGAGGGACCTATGGTCATGAGATCTGGGTAATGACCGAAATGACAAGATGGCGAATACAAGCAGCCGAAATGAGTTTCCGTTGCAGGTTGGCTGGGTGCACCCTTCCAGAATGGGTGAGGAGCTCAGAGTTACCCGGGAGGAGCTCGGAGTAGAGTCGTTGCTCCCCCATGTCATCTTTTTCGGATGCCTCCTGGTCGCCTCCCTTGGGAGGTGTTCCAGGTATGTCCTATAGGGAGGAGGCCACGTGGAAGGCCCAGGACTATGTCTCTGAGCCGGTCAGGTGTTGCCTCGGGGTCCCCCCAGAACAGCTAGAGGAGGTATGTGTGGATCGGGAAGTCTGGTCATCTCTGCTTAGATTGCAGCCTCCGTGAACCCGCCCAGATAAAGCAGAAGAAAAAAGGATGGATGGATGGATGGATGGATGGATGGATGGATGTATGTATGTTATTATGGTCAGTTTGAACTCTTCCTGTTGCATTTCTTTTTTATAGGATGGAATCACCCTTTTTAACATGATTACCTGTTTTTATAACTTCCTTTTTAAACTTAAGCTAACCTCAAGATACCTTATTGGTACATTGATGTACACATTCATAAACAGAAAACTTGCTTTTGGAAGCTGGTATCTGAAATGTATCAGGATCCTTAGATGTTGAATCCAAATTCAAAGAATTGGAAATGAAAGATTTTGGATCTGTGCATCATTAACCAAGACTACTGTTTCTGTGCACGAGGGGTTAAAAATGCTAGATAGGAAAAACTACCTGGAAAAGATGCAGATTTTGATGCACATCTAGCCCCCATCTTCTGTTTTCTCATATATTTAGTATGGTGATATCTAATATTATCTAAACTTGCATCTTCTCACTACACAAAACCTAGTGTTATTTCAGCCAGACATCTATTTGTGCTTCCCTCCTTTAAGCTGATTGTCCTGATCTTCCTCACAGAATCTGATCCTTTTGTTTTTTCTTCTAACCTCCAGGACAAGAATAATTTTCCATAGGTCTAGTACCATACAATGCCATTTTTTATTTACAATGATGCAGTTGTAAAATAAAAAAACAAAAAAAAAAACATGGAGGTACAGCCAGAAAGGTAGACATAATCCCCATTTTCCTGACTGCAGTCTGCTCATGTTTTCTCCTGCCTCTACGCTCCACATGGCAGGGTAGTTAAAGCACCGAGTGCAGATTAACACAAGGCTCATCAGGAGCCCTGCCCTAGGTTAAGCCCTTCCCCCGTTACTCTTCTGCATGTAAGACAAAGCAGGAGAGTAAAGCTCTGCAATGCTATGCTTTAAGGGAATTCTTAGGAAATGTTACCATTTAGATCCCTTCGTTCGCACTTTATTTTCACTCTTTATCCTCCTTATTCTCTACTGTCTTTAACAGTAATCTGTATTCTGTTTAACAACTCAAAGTGTAAATCCCACCCATCTCCATTTATTAAATGTTGGCAGCAGAAATCAGGGCTGAGATGTTCATTTGTGCAAAAATATTTTTTGGAAAATACGAATCGCCAAGACATTTTTTAAGATGTCATCCAGGTCATTGACTATGACCTGGATGACTGAGAACCTTCATCAGCATTTTTTAAGACAGAATTTAAACTCATTTTGCATGCGGTGGATTTGAAGGAAGGAAGCTGTGATGCTGACAGCTGGTGCTGACCTTGTTTTTTTTACCCAAACTGGTTGCAGGCAGATTAGAAAGCCGGTTCTGCACTAATACTACCATCCTCCTCACTCACTAATGCTAGGATTGAATTATAACTGTGGTTCAGGTGCCACATGTGCTGTATTCTTATTCTGACTCTACGTGTTTATCTTTTGGTCACCCCAGGCTCACAGCACAGAGAGGGCTGCCCCTTTTATCGAACATTGTATCATTCAGACACAGCCCTCAGGTAATGGGACAGACTAGAGTTAAGGCTTTGTCTAGCGATAGATCAATACATTAGCCAGCTAAAATTTTTGGCCAATATTAGCTTTTTTTTTTCTTCTAACCGCATCGGCCAAAACATGCAGCAATACCTTGATGTCACTTGCATTGCAGCTGCTTTCATAAAAGTTTTGTTTCATTGTTTTTTTTGTGTGTAACTTTTGAAATATTAAGAATTTTCTGATATATATCCTGTGGATCAAGGAAAAAAGCCATATAAGTTAATATAAGTTAAGTTAAGTCGTTAAGCAGATATCAGAGATCATTTAGACTAGTTTAAGAATAATCAATATTGGCATCAGCCTTAAAAAACCTGTATAGACGTGTTTGATAATCAATTTAGAGGTTGTGAAGGGAAATACTGATTATCTACCTATGAAAAAATATTGCCAATAAAAAGAGCCTGAGCAGTGAACTTTGTTGACTTTTAAGCACTTAATGGTATTTTAACATCCTTCTAATTTACAATATCTCCCACTTAGAAATCATGGAGGGGTCTGAAATTGTCATCTTGGGTGCATGTCCAATGCGAGAGAAAATGTTTAAACTATTTGTTTGTTTGATAAAGCTGCAAATAAGTATTTAAACACCTGAGAATCAATGTTAATATTTGGTACAGTAGCCTTTGTTTGCAATTCCAGAGGTCGAACATATCCTGTCGTTTTTCACCAGGTTTGCACACACTGCAGGAGGGATTTTGGCCCACTCCTCCACACAGATCTTCTCTAGGTCAGTCAGGTTTCTGAGCTGTCACTGAGAAACAAGGAGTTTGAGCTCCCTTTGAAGATTCTCTTTTGGGTTTAGGTCTGGAGACGGGCTAGGCCATGCCAGAACCTTGATATGGTTCTTACAGAGCCACTCCTTGGTTATCCTGGCTGTGAGCTTCGGGTCAGTGTTGGAAGACCCAGCCTCGACCCAATGCTCAAACTGAGAGAAGGAGGTTGTTCCCAAACATCTCCCAATATATGGCACCAGTTTTCCTCTCTAATACAGTGCTATCAGCCTGTCCTGTGTGCAGAAAAACATCCCCAAACATGACGCTACCACCACCATGCTTCACAGTAGGGATGGTGTTCTTGGGATGGTACTCATCATTCTTATTCCTTAATGGGATTATTACCAAAAGAGATCTATTTTGGTCTCATCTGACCAGGTGACTTTCTCCCATGGCTCCCCTGGATCATCCAAATGGTCATTGACAAACTTAAAATGCGCCTTGACATGTCCTGGTTTAAGCAGGTGAACCTTTCATGCCATGCATGATTTCAAACCTTGAAGTTTTGGTTTATTACCAACAGTAACCTTGGAAACGATTGTTCCAGCTCTATTTTGGTCATTGACCAGCTCCTCCCAAGTAGTTCTGGGCTGATTTCTCCCCTTTCTTAGAATCATTGAGACCCCACAGGGTGAGATCTTGCATGGAGCCCCAGTCCGAGGGAGACTGACAGTCATCTTTAGCATCTTCTATTTTCTAATGATTGCTCCAACAGTGGACCTTTCCCCCCCATGCTGCTTGTCAATTTCCCCGAAGCCCTCTCCAGCCATTTGGAGATGTACAATTTTGCCTATAGTGCATTTGGACAGCTCTTTGGTCTTAGCCATGTTAGTAGTTAGATTCCTAATAATTGTATGGGGTGGAAAGGTGTCTTTATGCAACTTACTACCTTCAAAAGCTACATCTAAGTCAGGATAATGAATGGAGAAGAGGTGGGCATTTTGAAGTCAGGCAAACAGGTCTTTGAGGGTCAGAAATTCTGGCTGATAGACAGGTGTTCAAATACTTAATTTCGGCTACATCATACAAATAAATATTTTAAAAAAATCATACATTCTGATTTCTGGATTTTTTTTTAGATTGTGTCTCTCACAGTAGAATTGCACCTACGATGACAATTTCAGACCCCTCCATGATTTCTAAGTGGGACAACTTGCAAAATAGCAGGTTGTTTTTCATGTAAGAGGACTTGACCAAAGTGCTTTACAGTACATTCACCTTTCTATGCCTTCTTCGCCCCCTTGCTTCATGTGTTCAATACTTTTTCCCTGTGCCCTTTGCCATTATTAAACATAACTTCATTTGTGGACATCTATGGTTTGATTTCTTTGTATGTGTAAATTGCATGGATTACCCACTTCTGGTGAAAATGTCATATCAACACCTTAGAAAAATATACTTACTGAGAAAATGGTGACATGTTCAATACTTATTTCAACAGCTGGGATTTCTCTACGACTTTTAATCTACTTCATATTCAAAATGAAAGTATGTGGTACCTATAGAATACAACATATATTAATGACTTATAGGTATAAATAATGTTTACTATAAAGAATGTAGAAGACTTTATGCTCCAGTCAGTTTATCTAAATATGCTAATAGCCGAAACACTTGAAAAATCTTAATATAATAGGATGGGGTATCTGAAATACGACCATTTTAAATCCTAGAGATGGATGCTTTTCCAGATTTTATTTTTTATTTTCTCCAAGTCCTAATAGAGACCAAGCCAGATTATCGGCAATGCAGCACTATGTGTTTTACTGAAACATGGCGGCAGGATCCTATCTCAGACTCCAGTGTTGCTTTATGAGCAGACCAAGATTTAAAGAAGACTTAGAAATTCAAAGGTGTGCTTGTGAACAACAGATGGTATCATGCAGGATGTGTTACTGTAACAGTTCATCACTGAAGCCCAGATATTTAACTGTAGGCAGTTGGTTTTCGCTCATATTATTTGCCCAGAGAGTTTATTAGTGTTATATTTACATTCCACCTTCTGCTGTTGCCAACACTGCATGTGAGATAATCAGTTGTTGCTAAGCTTCAGACACAAAAGCCAAATGCATTTTGTGGCAATAACGTTGATTTTAGTCACAGCTCATTCTCTACTACACTCCCAAACTTCCAACAGTTTGCTGCGGCTGCAACAGAGAAAAACTAATTTTGGATTTTTGTTTTAGGCAAACGTCAAAGACTCATACATCTCTAAAGTATAGCCTCTTCATAGAAATTAAGATCATAATCTTGTTTTTCTCTGTTCAGAGTATGAGCCACTTTATCAGATACAACATGCAGGAAAAAAAAAACTTTACGAAGGGAGACAGGAAGTTAACGAGGAGTATAAAGAAGCAACTTAAGGTCAAGATTAGAGAAGGCAAGGAGGGATACAGGAAGAGGCTGGAAAACAAGCTCCAGCAGAACAATATCAGAGATGTGAGGTCAGGGATGAAGATCACGGGCTAGAAGCAGAAGGATGATCAGACCGATGGAAGTCTGGACAGAGACAATGAACTGAATACATTCTGCAAAAGGTTCAGTTCAGGAACTAGATCAGCATCTTTGTCTACAAATAGTAGACAAAATGTGAGCTGTATTTACATTCAATTAATATAAAGGACCACATTTACAGTTGAGTATATCTTATGGAAAATTAAAGAGTGACACATTATGGATGTTCTGCTTACTTTGCTTCTTCGTCTCTGGCTATAAGAAGGCGCATGTGATTTGTGGCAGAGGCTGCTCTCAAGATATCCACAGCTCTGTGAGACAGACAGATACAAAACACTTATAACATCACCGTAAATTATCAGGAGTCTAGAGCCAGAGCAAGAACTTTGTAAAAGTCACCTTTCACTGGTGACTCCAACTAGACTGTCCCCATTTACTTCCAGGATCTGGTCTCCTGGCAACAGGTTTCCTGTAGATAGAAACAAGAGATTATAAAACTGTGTGATCAAGCAAGTATTCAGCTGTATAGAAACAAGTACAAAATGTTAAGTCCTGTCACTTTATGTGGTTGGAAAAATTGCTGCAACACATCTGACTGGAATTATCACAATATCAGTGTTTCTGTCAGTTTTCATCTGCAAAGATTGTCTTGAAAGTAATATTTGGTAACCTTTTTTTTCTTTAGATCTCATGTCTTCAGAAAAGAGTTTTTTAGCCTCTTACACCCTAAGGGGGTATAAATAAATTTCTGCCTGACAAATACACACAAAAGTAAATAACTTATAGCCTCAAAGCTATTAGATTTAAGAAGAAACTTTTGGTACGTCTGTAAAGGTAAGATGTCATAGAATGGTTTTCTGGTGTCAGCACCATAGTAGCTTTGACCCTGCCTGAAATATTAGGGACAAAATACAAAATATTTTGCATTTTTTGAACCTCGCCAAAATTTTCTTTGAAATAAACATTGCAAAACACTACCAAAATATTATTTATAGCACAAAAAAGTAGTACAGACTTTCAAATCTAAATGTTGTGTAAAAATATACAAAATGTGGACTCAATCAGATGAATCATATTTATTTTAGAATGGTATTAGTGAGAAATTTCTTAGGCGGAGAGGCCATTTTGGCACATTTATCCATAAATGTCACCAAACTGTGCTAAATATGTTTTTTACATCAATACTGGGGGTTTGGTAAAATTACGAGGTCATGTAGCAGCTGGACCCACCGGTGGGTCTGTAGGGTTCAAGGGGTTAGTTCACTCTTCAGAAGTGGTATTGCTTTTGAGCTTTGAGCTCATTGTTCTTCTGTAGGTACTGATGGCTGGACTTCATTATCCTCACATTAACCCTCCGCCCCCATGTTTTACTGTGAAAATGAAGATCTCCTTCCTAAATGCTGTGGTAGTTGTGTGGTGCATTCAGACCAGGAGCGTTCTGAGCATTAAAGCATCTGATTTACAAGGAAAGTCTAAAGGGGGACGGCATCGAGAGCGGCACATCTGGGATTCAGGCAGCGAGGGAACTGCACACCCGCACGTTCTGGCATCGGAGCATTCGAAACTGGAGTTAAAAAAAATTAACTCTAGTTGTCACACGCCGGAGCATCAACCAATCAGAAAAGCTGATCCAGGAGGTTTTTTTTAGGGAAGACAGACACTATCTGCAAGCTGTCATCAAAATAAATAAATATCCAGGAGTTAAACTCCAAAAGTGTAAAAAAAAAAAAAAGCTGGAAGAATGGATTGTTATGTAGAAGGAAAAGATAGTGAGTTCTGATCATTATTGCTGTAGTAAAACTTATTTTTTAATATAAACTATGGAGAAACAGTTTATAAATACCCAAATTTACGAAAAATGTTAAAACCTGCCGTATTGTAAAAACTCTTTCTATTCACTTCCAGCCATTAAACCGCAGCATGAAATCCCCCACAGCCTGGCTGCAGCAGAGAGTTTTCAGCAGGGATTTCCAGCCGCTCCCAACAAGAACTGCATATTTTAGTAGGAACATAATCCTGATGAACTGACTGCACAGATAATGTTTGGAGGTGAACTTTCTCACTTAAAAATGTGACAAAACTATTTTTTCTAACTCAAATTAAATAAAGCCAAGCTGCTCTCTAGCCTAAAGCTACAGAACAGAGCAGGTAAACAACCAGAGCGTCGAAGCGTCAAATCAGCTCTACCAGCGTTTAATTTAGCGACTGACCAAGCGTCCAAATTTAGGCACTTAAGCCGTTTTGATGCTCAAAACGCTTTAGGTGTGAACGCAGCTTAATGGCTGATATATCATGACGTACACTTTAATAAAACTTCCCCTTTTGTCATATTAGTCTACATAATTTGTTTGCCAAAAGTCTTAGAGATCAACCTAATTTTGGTGAGTTTAGGTGGGTCTTTCTGCTCTCTGGGTGAGCAGGGGTCCTGGTTGTGGAATTCTGTCTCTTTTTCTTATTGTTGAATCATAAACTCTGTTCTACTTTAGATATTTGTCTTGGGTTTTATCATCAGAACATTATCATTTAGTACAATTCAAATATTATTAGTTTGTCCAAAATTCTTTTAATGCAGTGCAAAAGGATAGTAAAGTTCAGATTTTTCAACTCCTTTCCTTCCCCTTCCAATTACCTTTCCTTTCAAATAATTCTCTCTAATCATGGCAGTTGTATTGATAGACAACCTGTGTTTCATATCACTTTGCCACAAGAGACACTTTTCATCGAGGTAAGATAGAAATCACTTGCTCCAGTCATATTATTGTTCAGTGTGAACGTACCATTACTTTTGAAATATTCAGTCCTCGAGTCTCCTGCTGCATTAACAGATACATTCACTTATAAGAAGAGTCATTTTCTTCCGATTTAGAGTTTTAATCTTGTTTTCAGTTACCTGTATTTCACATGTACATATTCTGCAAATGTAATAAACGGAAACTGAATTATAAAGACCATAAGCAAAAGTTTCAGGATTGGTTTGAAATGTTTTCCCCCTTGAAAAAAAAAGTGGATTGTCTTTTTTATAAGAAGGGAAATGATGGTTTGGAGAACAAATGTGTGATTTAAAGATGAGATAAAGTCTTGCCACTCCAAGCAGAAAGATACCAAGATTCTAAAAAATATATAAACATTTTGTATTTAAGATTGAAAAAAAATTATTTGTCCATAGGCTCTATCAAGAACTCCACATGTGGGGAAGTTTGTGTTTCACCTGGTTTAATTTAATAAAATATCTTCTTTAAGGAACCTTTGGCTATCCAATTAATCAAAAAAATAATCGTCTGATTAATCGAATTGCAAAATAACTGTTAGTTGCAGTCCTAGTTACAATGTTACTTATAGTTTAAGGCTATATATTCATTGATCTAACATGAAGTCCCTGCAGTAAGTCCTTTCTGATGTATTTGTCAACAGAGAAAATCATCAGCAGGAACCACATTCTACAAACCACTATAGAGCTGAGGATTATATTACATGCGAGTCCTAATCCTCTCTGTTATTCACCATTCCTGGCATGTGTAGACTGCAAAGCTATCTTAGCTGGTTATAACTCTGCTCAAATACATTCAGCTATAGGTTGTAGATACAAATATGTAAGCAAACTGAAAGAATAAACAAGCAGCAACCTGTCCAGGATGTAGGACAACCAACACATAGACAATAGAGGGATAAATATCTGCCTTTAAACCAAAAAATATTCCTATTTTTATGAACTTGTGTTTAAAGCAGGGTTGGTCATGTGTATATTCACCTATTCTTTATTGGTGAATTTATAATTGGAGATAATTGGTGAATGAAAATGAATAATAACATCCTCTTAGCTGTCTTGGGGTTGAGCACTAAGGCCTTATACACTATATTGCCAAAAGTATTTGCTCACCTGCCTTGACTCACATATGAGCTTAAGTGACATCCCGTTCCTAATCCATAGGGTTCAATATGACGTCGGTCCACCCTTTGCAGCTAGAACAGCTTCAACTCTTCTGGGAAGGCTGTCCACAAGGTTTAGGAGTGTGTTTATGGGAATTTTTGACCATTCTTCCAGAAGCGCATTTGTGAGGTCGCACACTGATGTTGGACGAGAAGGCCTGGCTCTCAGTCTCCGCTCTAATTCATCCCAAAGGTGTTCTATCGGGTTGAGGTCAGGACTCTGTGCAGGCCAGTCAAGTTCATCCACACCAGACTCTGTCATCCATGTCTTTATGGACCTTGCTTTGTGCACTGGTGCACAGTCATGTTGGAAGAGGAAGGGGCCAGCTCCAAACTGTTCCCACAAAGTTGGGAGCATGGAATTGTCCAAAATGTCTTGGTATGCTGAAGCATTCAGAGTTCCTTTCACTGGAACTAAGGGGCCAAGCCCAGCTCCTGAAAAACAACCCCACACCATAATCCCCCCTCCACCAAACTTTACACTTGGCACAATGCAGTCAGACAAGTACCGTTCTCCTGGCAACCGCCAAACCCAGACCCGTCCATCAGATTGCCAGATGGAGAAGCGCGATTCGTCACTCCAGAGAACGCGTCTCCACTGCTCTAGAGTCCAGTGGCGGCGTGCTTTACACCACCGCATCCGACGCTTTGCATTGCACTTGGTGATGTATGGCTTGGATGCAGCTGCTCGACCATGGAAACCCATTCCATGAAGCTCTCTGCGCACTGTTCTTGAGCTAATCTGAAGGCCACATGAAGTTTGGAGGTCTATAGTGATTGACTCTGCAGAAAGTTGGCGACCTCTTCGCACTATGCGCTTCAGCATCCGCTGACCCCGCTCCGTCAGTTTACGTGGCCTACCACTTCGTGGCTGAGTTGCTGTCGTTCCCAAACACTTCCATTTTCTTATAATACAGCTGACAGTTGACTGTGGAATATTTAGGAGCGAGGAAATTTCACGACTGGATTTGTTGCACAGGTGGCATCCTATCACAGTTCCACGCTGGAATTCACTGAGCTCCTGAGAGCGACCCATTCTTTCACAAATGTTTGTAAAAACAGTCTGCATGCCTAGGTGCTTGAATTTATACACCTGTGGCCATGGAAGTGATTGGAACACCTGATTCCAATAATTTGGATGGGTGAGCAAATACTTTTGGCAATATAGTGTATGTATAGCTAACAATCCAGCTTTTCTGATTTTGATGTTTAAAAATCATGAAGTCAGGCTTTATGTGCACATTCTATCATGGTAGGGTGAAGGTTTTTGAGGACCCAAATGCAAAAATCAGGAGGTTGAGGTGAGTCTTGAAGATTTAATAAGACAACTGAGGCAAAAAAAAAAAAAAAATACAAACAACCAAAAACCAGAAATACACCAGGGGAACCAGAGATGAGGAATCAGCAAAACAACAAGGACCCAGCACTGAGTGACTGCAGAGGTGGTGTATATAAGGGGAACAGAACAAAGGATGGGCTAATGAGCTGAATATGGAGCAGGTGTGAGTGGAACTAACATGAAAAAAGCCAAGGGGAGAGGAAACAAGCACAAGGCGCGAACAGAGAGTAAGTAAATACTGCTTGTTTATGATGGAAAATAAACCATAGATCAACAAAACAGAATAACTGAAAACTAAAAAATCAGAGTCTCAAAAGGGGATAACATGCTCTAGTATTTTACTGACTAAAACACATTAAGACAACACAAAATAGATTAAAAAAAAATCTCATGCTGGAGAAATACTTTTTGTCACTTTAAACTCATAAAAACAATCCTTAAAGTGAGAATATAATCATGTTAGGGCAGAGTAAAACACTTCCACTTGTTGTTCCATACGCCATGATCATGGTTTTTGGATATTGGAATCCAGTGTCTATATTTCATCTTGACATAATGACCAGAGGAGAACTCGCACTTTTGGTGAATAACTTTGGCGACCTCTGTGGCCCCCACTTTTCAGCCAAGGCCTCCACAGGCAGGTCACATGGCAGCCCACAGAGGTGTGACCAACCACCCCCCTCTGTGTGAGGACAGACAAAATCACAGAACACACAGGATTCTCTCTATTTGTCTCCTCTCGCTTGCCCATGAAGCTGTAGTCCATCTCTGGAAGGATGGAGATCTGGGCCCCAGAAGACCCGGATCACCAGAGTCCTCAAAGATAAGTCATCATGGACCTTTCAGAACCAAACTGCTGCAAAACAGACCTTTTGTGACACATTTCCCTTAAGTTTCAAAGCTTTTAGAGCCAGACTGGATGAGAGGAATCCTGATGTCTATTCGCTGCTAGCTATTTCAAAGAGGGTAAAGAATCATTTGACTAAAGGATATTGGTTCTTGATTGAGCAAATCATTTAATAAAACATTATTTGGCCAAATAATGTTTTATTCACCTCATGGATTTGCATTTTGAATTGGTCTGAAAACATTCCAATTTCTTTAAATTAGTGTTAAGCTCATTTGATCATATCCCAAATTCTTCCAGATAAACTTTGGTTTTCAAACATAAAATCCATCTTAAACTGTAATATGCTTTTCAACCATGTTTCCCTTCCTCTTTTAGTTTAGGTAGTTTAGTTGAGTTTCACTAATCTTAGTTAAGAGTTTTAAACTGAAATATGTTTGACTTGGAGCTGAATGATTTTTGTTAACAAACTCTTATATTTTGAACAGAAGGTGAATTTATTCCATGTATGTGCAGTATTAACTGTTTGACCATGATTAGTGCTCGAATCACTCTTTCATTTATTGTTCTAACACACAGTTAGAAGGACGTGTGTTCATAAACAATATATAACAGCCGAAATAATATCTGATTAAATAAGACAGTTACCACCCCTACCAGGGAGGGAAATTACCCTCTTAAAGTATCAGAAATATAAATTCCCAGCTGGCTGGGAATAGAATAGAATATAAATTCACAAAATTAATATGACATCCTACCTGGATGGGCATTGAACTTAAAATCACAACTCACTATTTAGTGTAAAATCTAGCTATAGTTACTCACAGTGGGCAGAACTTAGTAAGAGTAAGAAGAATTTTACTGTTGCTACTTCTAAAAGTACTTTCTAAAATGTTGCTCCAGTATATGTAACTAGTCCCTACGTATCTACTTCTGATGTAAACTATTTTAGACATAAGGATTACTCACATGATGAGCTTTATAAACTATTTCACTTCCCAAGTTATAAAGCACTTTATTAAATGGTGATTAAATGATGGGATGTAATTTAAACAGTTTATCAGTTGTTGCAGGAAAACATGAGGCCCAAGCACAGAGGCTTTGGCCCTGGACAGGCTGCTGCAGGTTTGACTCCCAGCCTGTTGACCTTTGCCACATGTCCTCCTGCTCTAATCCCATTTCCTGTCTGCTTAGTAAAAAAATAAAATAAAAAGACCTCTAGAGCCTAAAAAAGCAGATTATCTTTTGTCTGCAGCATTACAGGAACATTACAGAAAATTGAAGCATTTTCTCCTGATCTAAACACAGGTTGAATGTTAACTTAAAAAAAAAGAGAAAAAAAATCAAACATAAAATAAAACAAATTTGGGTCTGGAATTGTACTTTAATGATTTCTATTCTCTGATCATTACAAAACTCTATGTATTGCATGAACCATAACATTGAATACATTTTTTAGCTTAAAAGTAAATTTAAACCTATTGGCAATTCCTACATGTAACATGCCATTTATACAAGTCAGGATTTTTTTATATCTGGATTGTTTCGGGGGATAAATATTTCGTTTAGTTTGATGGAGCCTTTAGGTTATTGAAAATATTTTCCAAATTTTTGCCATAAAGGTTTGATATAGTATTACAGGTTTACTTGCATTTCTGTGCCCTATATCTATCATTTATTGCAGAGAAAGTAGGTCATGACAATGCTGTGTTGTGTTTTATTCATGTTGCACTCACAAGAGAATCTCCCAAAATACTTGTTCCATCACTCCAGAGGAATTCAGCCACACGACTCTGACCACTGACTCTACATTTGCGTTATTCTTGTTTATTTCTTTTTTTAGAAGATGGATATCAAAAGGGAGAAATTTGGAGAAAAATCAAATAATTCTTTGAATAAATGCCGATACATTTCAACTTAAGGCTCAACACTTTGAATGACATAAATGGTGAAATATTTAAGCTTTTCAAATTAGAAATATGAATATTTACAGGAATCAAGTGATGTTTAATATTTCATTTAAATTCACTAGACTATTAGGACTTTAAGCAGAGAGTTGATATGGAAAAAAATCAATACCTGTTAGCAGCAACTGGCTTTTTAAAAGAGTTATTTAAGTGTCATTAATAATTTAATCAATCAATCCATCAGTATAATATGGAGGTAATGACATGGATGTTTTTGTATATATATATATATATATATATATATATATATATATATATATATATATATATATATATATATATATATATATATATATATATATATATATAGTAGGACCACTGTAATAAAAGTGATGTCTCAGTAAAGTGCTTTTAGGCTGTCAGGAACAAAGTTATTCAGTAGTTGATACAGTTATGGGATGAGATGCATCTGGAGATAATGAGATGGATGTTTTATTTTTTTTATATATATAAATTATATATATAAATGTATTAGTCATCCAAAACCCTGACCACCCAGGGTGCAGACCAGGAAGCAGTGTCACGTCTCTGCAGCTTCTCTACTGTTATCCACTCTTTACTCCATCCAGACAGTGTCTTGCCCACGACCAAAATCTAATAAAGTAGCAAATATTCCTAAAGGAGTAAATCATGATAATCTAATTAAAATTAAAATAACTACAATTGTGGAAAAAGTTAAAAGGATCAAATTTGGTCTGTTCAACATAAGATCTCTTTCCATTAAAAGTCTTTTAGTTAATGACATTGTAATAATCACATTGACTTATCTTGCCTTACAGAAACCTGGCTGCAGCAAGAGGATTATGTGAGCATAAATGAGGCAACTTCTTCAAGCTATTTAAATTTTCACATACCCAGAAGTTCTGGGTGAGGAGGAGGAGGAGTAGCAACAATCTTCCAGTCTGACTTACTGATTACTAACACCCTTGTTCGTAAATGTGGTGCATGTACTGAAGTGGTAAAAGTGGAACTTTTTAATGCTTATTGTACCTCTCTGTACCTGGCTCATCTGTGGTCTACATATAAAAAAATCCAGCCATAAAAAAAAATAAAAAATAAAAAAAAAATTAAAAAATTTTTTTTTTTTAAAAATCCAGCCTGCAAAGGCTGCAGGTGGCCAATAATGATAATTTTGAAATGTTCAAGATGGACTAGTGGGAGTGTATGGAGAGCCATTTCAGCCAAAATTAAATAAATAAATAAATGGGTGAAATAAAAATAAAATGAGTAAAAAAAAACTGAAAAATGGTTAAATTAAAAAATAGATTAATGAAAATGGGTAAATAAATAAAGGGATAAATGAAAAAATGGACAAATGAAAAATAGAAAAATATTTTACTCATTTATTATTTATTTCACCCATTTATTTATTTACCAAACATAGTGAAATCCAATACCAGTCTAAGCTGTGGAGACACTGGTATTGCTGTCTCCTTAAATCTCCTATCTAATTGGAACTTGTACTTGTACTTTTCTACCTGTATTGTTTTATTTTTATCTCATATATTTATTGGACCATGAGTTCAAAATAAATAAAGAAAAAAGTCTGTCTGTCTGTCTGTCTGTCTGTCTGTCTGTCTGTCTGTCTGTCTGTCTGTCTGTCTGTCTGTCTGTCTGTCTGTCTGTCTGTCTGTCTATCTATCTATCTATCTATCTATCTATCTATCTATCTATCTATCTATCTATCTATCTATCTATCTATCTTATCTATCTATCTATCTATCACAAACTTTTCTCCATAAAGTGTCCTCTCCTTAACCTTATATTCTAAAAAAGTATTTACATTTTCTGTCAGGCATTATAAAGAGTCCCCTTAGGGGTTAGAAAGCATAACACTGCTGTGACCCAACTTACCATCAGCTGCAGCAAGGCCCCCAGGTAAAATCCGCTTGACATAGACTCCAAACTCCTCTCCAGTTAGCTCTTTCACTCCACCTATCACTTTAATTCCTGGTGAAAGAAACAGAAAAATCTCTTCTGAGTAAATCTCTCCAGCTTATGCTAGAAGATCCAGACACAGCATAATGCACCTCAAATGAACGTTAGGTGAATAGCTTCTAAGTTATATAACTAAAAATATTGAGGGTATTTATCTTTCTTTTTTTTCATACAGTAAAGGTCTGTTATTTGACCAAACTATCTAATGTTTAATATTATCTTCACTAGGGCAGCATCGATTTTGCAAATCGATTAATCTGTTGTTTATTTTTTTTTAGATTAATTGATTGATTAATAATTGGATAACAAAAGGTTTTTTAAAGAAGATCACTTATAAAATTAAACCAGGTGAAACTAAAAGTCTTCCACTTGAGGAGTTTCTGATAGAGTATTTTGACAGACAATAGGTTTTAATTTATCATTCCATCTCTATTCTCCCACTCTGCAGAATCTGTTAGTTCAATCTCTAACGTTCTTCTCTCTCTGCTTTTTCTCATAGTAGCTTCATCTGGTCTGTTCCTGTTTGGCTGTGACTCCATCCTGGAGAGAAATATCAGCTGTGCTGCTGCCATCAACACCTTTGTTTCTAGATGCTGGAGATCAGCCTGTTTTTCACTTTAGTCCTGTTTCTCTAAATATGACTGGCTGGATGTGCTCTCTTCATCCTTGACATTGGAGCTCGTCTGTCTGCCTCTGTGTTTCCTAGAGCAGCCCATTTTTACAGCAGCCTTTTCTATGTCTGCTTCTGTCTCATTGAACCCCAGTGGGCCTCAGCAGATGGCCGCTCACACTGAGCCTGGTTCTGCTGGAGGTTCCTTCCTGTTAAAAGGGACTTTTTCCTCTCCACTGTCGCTACAAGCATGCTTGATGTGAGGGATTGCCTTCGAGTCAATGAGTCGATGCAATCCCCTGGTTTTCCTTAGATAGAAAACTTTGAATCAATTTGACTGTATGATCTGGTGAACTGTAAAGTGCCTTGAGATGACGTGTTGTGAATTGGAGCAAAAGAAATAAACTGAACTGAAAATTTAATTTTGATGTTAAATGTTTATATATTTTTTACAATCTTGGTATAATTACTGCTCTAAGTGGGTCGCTCTGTCAGCTAAAGGCAGGTTTTAGACTCACTATGTTTCAGGGAATGATTAATTGATTACTAAATTACTTAATGATCATTTCAATTATCGATTATTCACAATTAATCCAATTAATTGTTCAGCCCTAACCTTCACAGAAAAATAATTCATGTCTCCAAATGTAAACAATGCTAATTAGATTGCATAAATGAATAATGAATAAAACAATGAGTGTCCGTGTACAGATGGGCTATGGAATAATATTAGCCCAGCGAAGAAGTGGAAGGTCACTGGTCAGCAGTTGTGACAGTTTTCTAGTAAGCTGCTGACAGAAGAACAAGGGAAGGTCACAGAAATCGGCTCTCCGCTTATTATTAGCCTTCCATCACCAGAGGACATCCCTTTCCTGTTGCATGCATTAAGAAGTGTTTGCACTCAGGTGAGAACAAAATAACGCTGGAGTATATTTGCAGCATGGTTGCAAATAAAACTCAGGAGGAGATGAAATGGACAAACTCTATCTGTCACCATGCAGTATCAGTCTGTTTTTATCCTCCCTGTTTGTTTTTCTGCAGACCACATCATCATAAAAAAATGAAAACACCTATGTAAAGATATATTCTGTTCCAACAGAGGTCACTTAGGGACCCAGCAGCAGCTTAGAGCTCCAAGTGATTCAGAAAAGCAAAACAATTGAAAAATCTGAAACATTTAGAATATCTTTTGATATAGTTCATTCATTTGAAGCCCTGGCTGTATTGTATGTCTTTTGGCTTAATGAGGCCAGAAGGTAAACTTTTAACCTTTTGCATTATCTGACATTTTTTTAGGTTTTACACAATCCATTTTCCAGTGAATTAATCCCTAAAACCATAACACTATTTTATGATGGTCTGTTCAGCCTGATGTTTGGTGTCATTTTTTCCACACTTTGTGTGCAACATAAATATATCAACTTTTGATCCAAAGCACCTACTACTATTCCTTTTAAACAGCTTACTTAAAATCATACCCTTCCTTCTGCTCACTCTTTCATAAAAAAAGGCTTTTGAGTTGCATGACTAATACTTGGTTCATCAACAGAATCTCCTACTTGAGCTGAGGATATCTGCAGCTCTTTCAAGAGCATAATGGTATTTTTTTTTATTTTATTTTTTATCTTTGTATGCCTACAGATTAGCCATTCACCCATGAATTGTTCCTGACAGGAGAGCAGGTGAACCCATCCCCTCAGTTTCCCCAGGAGATAAAGAGAGCAGCTCCCTCACCGCCCGAATCCCAGAAAATCCAAGTGAACCCAAGGCTTTGCACCAAGAGCTGGTGTGCGACTGGTATTGACATACTTTATAATAACTGGCCTTCTCGTGGGCGTGCATTTTTTTTTTCTCTGACTCCGCCCTTTCACTGAATTACAGGGTCTGACCAGGAGATAAAGATTTCCTTTAGATCTTAATCTTAGTCCATGAATGATGACAGAAAGAATATTTTAGATGTTTAAAAAGGAATTGTAGGGAACCAGCCAAGGGCTCATCAAAGAAAGTGGGGAAATTTTGAATGGCTACTACTGTAAGCAATTTAGCAATAACTACTTTTCATTATCAGTATTAGCAATTCAACTGATTAACCTATGACAGAATTTTTAAGGTGAATACATGTTATTCTGACATCAATCTAATCAATCGCCAGAATGTGCTGCTGAAATTTTTTGGGCCAACTCTTGGAGCCACAATTGATTTTTTTTCCCATCAGTTTACATGATAGTAATAACACACTGATCCTAAACGTTACACGTCTCAATTTCAACAACAACAACAAAAAATCTATTAGCAAATCAAATAAAACTTATTATGACATCATTTCATGATGTTTAAGTCAGGCAGGTTCTGTTTCATAGCTTAAAGGAATAGTACACCCAAAACATGATTAGCCTTCATTTTCTACTCACCCCCATGCTGAACAACACTCTGGAGTACTTTTTTGATATCTCAAATGCATCTGGAGATCTGGGAGCCTTCTTGCTGTCTGCTGACATTCAAATAATGGAGGTCTATGGCGCGTGAGGCAGAAAGGTCCATAAAAGTCCACAAAAAACGTGTCAATATTCCTCCATACTGCTCGTCCAATGTATTCCAAGTGTCCTGAGTGGGTAGCATCCAGAATTTACTCGAAACAAAGTCATTTAGAATGTTTTTAGAGCATAAACAGTAGTGTATAGGATTTCCTGAAAGCGCGCGCCTGCGAGTTCACGACGCTACGGAAACCACGGCAGACCAAACCAGATGAAAGTGCGCATTCAGCGTCTGCTCTGCCGATAATGCAAGTGTAGTAGAAGAAATGTGCTGTTTACCTGTGCAAAGAAAGAAACAACGAAAGAAAAATGTCTGAGGACTTCAGTGTTGAGGAAGAGCATGAGTTCTTTGCCGAGTTGAATGCGCACTTTCATCTGGTTTGGTCTGCCGTGGTTTCCGTAGCGTCGTGAACTCGCAGGCGCGCGCTTTCAGGAAATCCTATACACTACTGTTTATGCTCTATAAACATTCTAAATGACTTCGTTTCGAGTAAATTCTGGATGCTACCCACTCAGGACACTTGGAAAACATTGGACGAGCAGTATGGAGGAATATTGACACGTTTTATGTGGACTTTTATGGACCTTTCTGCCTCGGGCACCATAGACCTCCATTATTTGAATGTCAGCAGACAGCAAGAAGCCTCCCAGATCTCCAGATGCATTTGAGATATCAAAAAAGTACTCCAGAGTGTTGTTCAGCATGGGGGTGAGTAGAAAATGAAGGCTAATCATGTTTTGGGTGTACTATTCCTTTAACATGCAAATAGGTCTAAGAAAGAAAAGGGAGGTAAGTTTATTTGTTTAGCAAATTTCAAAGTTCTATGCATGAACAGACAATAACAGAAGAAAGCACACAGACAACAAGTTTGAACTAATGATGTCTCAGTTAATTAAAATACAAAAATAAAAAACTAAATTAAAAGCAAGTCTAAACAAAAAGGTTTTAACCATGATTAAAAGGAACAAATTATTTAAGAGGAGGTCTGACAAGAAGTTTTGTTGACTTATGCTGTTGTTTGTTATAATCTGACCAGGGGGGGAACATGTATATTTTGAATATTTAGATGTTAGCTACATAAATATCTGACCCTAACCCCGGGGAGGAACTCTAGGGAATCCCACGAGTGATTTATGTGCTCTGTGTTTTAATTGACCTAATGACAGAATTCCCTGTACTTCAAGTAGGATTCACACCAGTCCTGTGCTGTACCAGAAGGTTGACTTAGTTTTCCAGGTGGTCTGATGAGTGATCAACAATGTTTGCTAAGGTCTAATAATAGCAGCAATGTGGTTCTTTTTTTAAATTTAGAAAACTGTAATTGAACACCTTGACCCAGTTCCAATCAGGCATCCAATCAGCATAGAAGTCTGATCGGAAGCCTCCAAAGAAGCTGGGAAGTTGTATAACTGTTAAAAACACCACAATCTTAATGATAGTTGATATAGGAATGTGGTTCTTTAGTAGCAGATTGTTCAAACTTCCTTTTCAATAGTTGTTCAACAATTGCTGTTTTAGGGCCTGGTGGTTGAGTGAAATGAAATGCTATGACAGACAAAACCTCGTTAAAGAAAGCTTTAAATAAAGCATTGAAAAAGCAGAAAGGACCGAGTTAGGGACAATAAAATTAAAATAAAAAAGTGGGAGTATGAACTACTGCTATTATAGCACAATTAATTCTGATAAGAACAGCCTTTAACCTGAGGTCTTTCCCATCACTCTACTTCCACTACATCTGTTAGTCGTTTAATGTTAGACTCAGAGATTCTGCAACTTGAGGCTGCTTTTATTATGTCAAAGCAGAAACAGAGTGGCAACACTAATTGGGTCTGGAGCGAAGGGGCACCAGTTAATTACTGCCTGTTGGAAAAAAGGGATAAATCATTTCCATGACACTGTCCTCTCTCCTTTTGACTCTACCTCTGAGGAAAACAGCTTCTCTCCCATACTGATTTCCAACCCTCTATCATAAGATAAGAAAAAACATTATTCTACTACATAAGCAGCTACTATGGAGGAATGGCCGTCCTCTCGGCTTGTTTTTCAAATTAGTGTTTCATGCTAAAAGGGGATGAAGGAAATGTCTGTTAGCCAAGGACAATACAGAAGTTTTTTCAATTTTTAAATCTGAGCAATTGTTTTCTAGAGCAGGTTTTTTGTCTGTTTCAACAGCATTGATTTAGGTTTTCTTGATGTAATGCTGTAGCTATTGCCTTCTTAAATGTTTTCCAGTACTATTTACTTAAAAAGCTTTATATACTGCTAAGCTGATTGTTTGTTCCTAATCCCACTAACAAAGTTCTTTACTCTCAATCTGTAGAATGGGAGGCCCATCCTTTAGGTAGATATTTAGTTTTAGTACTTGAGGCAAACACCCTGTCTAATTTTGTGACTAAGCTTAAAAACGTTGTTTTTGATGAATCATATAGTTAGAGTGTGTCAGGAATCCAGTTTGTGTGGTCTGTTTTTGTGTTTCCTTTCCTCCTCCACCAGGTGGTGCCCCGTCCTCATTGGGCCTCCCTGCACACCTGCAGCTCGTTGCCTCATTACCTGTGGAGTGTTCTTAAGCTGCTGACTGCCACTACCTCGAGGCCTGAGTGTTTGCCAGTTTTGGGTACTCTAGCCATGCTTAGTTTAGCAGAGTCTAACCTGAGTTTTTGTTTACCTGAGTTTTAGTCTTGCTGTTTTTGTCTTTGCCTCTCGGCAGGAAGTCATCCTGCAAACTGGATGTTTCGGACCTTCTCTCCCCTGGAAGGATCTTCTGAAAACCAAACTGAACTGAGGATTCAAGTTTGTGGTTTGAATCAACCTTTTCCCCCAAGGATCGTTTGGGGATTCTCTCTGAGCAGGGGATTCATCTCCACAATAACTCGTTCAAGTACTGCAGGAAATCTAAATGGCAATCAGCTTCTCTGTTCACCAAGGAACGACCGAAATCTGGGTAAACCCTGTCTGCCATCGAACAAGACTATCACTGGAACATCCCACACTGACTGGATTCATTAAGAGACGCCTTTTTCTGGAAACGTGAGTCTGCAACCTATTCCTCCTCTTCAAGTCAAAGAATATAATTTCCCACTGAGCCTGAACTAATCGCAGTGTCTTCCACTCACTTTCTAGTTCCGGTTCGACAGTGTTCAGAGCAGCACTGGACTCATCTAATCATTTTAAATAAACATGTTAAACTTTTCCCTGGTCTCTCTGGTTGGTCTTCTGCATTTGGGTCAGATCTTTAGTTAAATCATGACAGAGTGGTTCGTGCTATCATAAGCTATATCCAGTATTGGAGTTCAGGGGGGATGAAGGGGGGATGGCATCCCCCTTCTTAATAAAATCTTAATCATCCCCCATCTTAAATAACCATGTGACATTTTATCACTGAATGTGTACATTTCTATTATATATCAACAGTAATGGCGATAATATTTCCCTTTCAACATTTGTCAGGCTGTGTGCTCATGAGTAGCCTGACCAAATTGCAGAGGGCACATGCGATTTTCGACCTCAGTAGTGCAACCAGCGGAGCAGCTGAAGCTGTTTTGAACAACACTACAGCCAAGTGGCAAAGATAACACGATTTGAAGGAATAAGAAAATAAAGAGGGGAGGGAATCTTCGGTAGGTTCCAGGTTCTAATTTGCCTAGATCTCCCTCCCCTGCTTAGTTTGAGAAATAATGTATTTACTATTATGCAAGTTTCTCCATATAATCATATCTGCTCTCTGTGGTTGTGGTATGAATTTCATAAGTATGGGACAATAAATGTCAAAATAAGGATTGGAGGGCATCTTCGGCAAATTCCAGGTTCTAAGTTTAACAAATAAAGTGTCAGAAATGATCTAAAATGGGGAATCCGCATCCACTGAGAAGAGAATTTATTCAACGCGCACTGACTGAAGCACGACTGGAACGTGTCTCCATACAAGTAAAATCTTATTAAATTCCAATTTATCTGTCCACATAACAAGTCATCCATGTATAAGAAATATGAAAAAATCTAGATGTTTAAAATTTCCCTTTTTGTTCATATTTCCATCCGTTTTTTCATTAATGAGCATAAGTTTAGGGTGATGCACACTCCTGTGATAGAGATGGTAATTCTCTGGCACAACAAATGTAACCTGTAGTAGAGAATCAAAGGTTTGAAAAATGCATTTTAATTAAGCAATTTAAGACGTTAAGATTATAATTGGAAAGAACTGCCAAATGTGATGTTATTGTCTGGCTAATGCTCAAAAAATGAATTGAATGTTGAGATTTGATTTGATTCAATCAATGGTAAATATAGTTCGACAGAACTGTTAAATAGTTTTAACTCATTCATTGCCAGCATGTAGCCTAGCTTACTTTAAATGAGCTAATAGAAGCTAAGTTGTTTCCCGCAATTTAGGTCATAAAAACAAAACAAAACAAGCTGACCTCCTGTCTGTGACAATGTCTGCTCTAACTAAGGACGGGACTTCCCATGCTAATGGCTTGGCTTCGTTAGCAAACATTGCCCCCCTGTCGTACTTATATGTTGCTATCACAAGCTGTGGAGGACTGCCCAGGAACATCGTTAGTTCTAGTTATAGCCCCGACTGTATAAGAGTCCGGCCAGTATTTACCTCCGCCGACAGCCAGACAGGCCATTATTAGAGACTCGGCTGCTAATGGAATACAGGCCAATATTAGAGGATTTACAGTATGCTGCTATAGATTTAGCCTGCTGGAACACATAGGGACCACTTTTCATCATTCTGTTTCCTTCTACTTCTAATCTTCAATTCTACAATACATGTTAGTTCAACTGCTAACTTATATTTTCACTTGTTTTTCTCATCATAGTAGCTTCATCTTTGCCCGTCACTCTGTTTAGCTGTGACACATCCTGGAGGAAGGTCTCTGCTGGTCTTTTGCCATCACCAACTTAATTTAACGTTTAAAGTCTCAAGCGTTGTTGGGCAGCCCTCACAGCTCAACGACACGTGGCCTATCGTGACCTACTGCGGGACCCGTGCACGGCCGTCTGCAGGCCAACGCCAATGTGGCTTTAATCCGACATTCCTGACAGCAGTTCTAGCGTTTCCTATTACGCATAGAACACAGAGAAAATCAAGGGCATGCAACAGTGAAACATGGGACTACCTGATCTCAGGGGATGGGGCTAAACTGATATCTTCAAATCTGTTTGTGGTAAATGCCAAGATAACACACAAAATATATGTACTCCTCTGACCTTTCTAATTGAGGTTATAAACCATGATGTTGCAAGTCTGGAGGTCAGATTACGATGCTTGGCCACGCCCACATGCTGTGATGTAAACATTTATTTTGATAGCTTTCAATCCCCTATGCCTTAAGTCCATGCAAAGTGAATTTGAAGTATGTAACTCAAAAGCTGTTTGAGTACATTCCTGAGATACGACATTAGTCAATAAGAGAAAATGGCATCTTTGATTAAAATGGCCAAATTCCTGTGGGATTTGGACCATGGCTCCAAGAGACTTTTCTGTGTGTCCTGTTGGGTTATACAAGTGCAACAAATTTCATAATCCGCACTAAAAGCATGGCCTGGGGCTGTTTTGTTTTTTTCTTATAGTGATAAGTCAGTTTGAAGTTTTGCCACGCCGACAAGTATTGTCGCCGCAAAAAATGCTTGATAATTTTTATTTACAAATAAAATAAGCACTGCACAAAAGAGAGACAGATAGATAGATAGATAGATAGATAGATAGATGGATAGATAGACAGACAGACAGACAAACAGACAGACAGACAGACAGACAGATAGATACTAGTGAGAACACGATTTATTTTGTAGTGTTTTTTTTGTTATGAAAATTATTCAGTTTATTTCTGACTGACACACCCAATGAAGAACTCATCTGATTTCTGCAAATCTCTACCGTAAACTTTTCCTATCATGACTTACATTTCTCATTGTTCATCTGGACCCTGATGGCTTTCACGTGTATGATTTGTTGTTGTTAAGAAGGCACACACACACACACACACACACACACACACACACACACACACACACACACACACACACACACACACACACACACACACACACACACACACACACACACACACACACACACACACACACACACACACACAAGGAAGTGAAGTAAGGATAAAAACAAGAGCTCCTGCATTCTTAACCCATTCAAGTTAAGTGGGTTAGGGCTTTGCCACATGACCCACTTCCCCAAGCAGAAAAATATGCCAATGATAGCAGAGGTACCCTGCAAAGAAAATCTCTTTAAAAGAAGGATTTGTTTATTTTAGGATTTATTTGGAGGCAGCATCACTAAAACACTGACGTGACAGAAAAGAAATGCACTAAGACCACTTTAACCAGAATTAATTATAGTGTATACAATCGTAATAGAGACATTTATTTTTTGGAGATAACTGCTCCCATAACACCAACATTTCCCTATAAGGATGTTTATTTTTACTATCTGAAGCCAGAACAGGCTGTCACTGTGAGGCAGGATCTCCAGTCTGCCATAAATCCCACACAGGGAAAGAGAAACACTGAGTGATGCTTCGGGTTTATTTTGAGAACTTTGAGGCAAAAGAGCCACAGCAGCTGATGGTACAGATATAGGTCTATGGCAACATGTTCATGGTTGTTGCAAGATAAGATAAGATAAGATAAGATAGACTTTATTGATCATACAGTGGAGAAAGGTACTTGTCACGTAGAAAAAAAAAGAACTTACCCAGGCCATTTTCACAGTCTGTAAACTCCATGGAATGAACAGCTCTGTCAACTCCATATGGACCCATTAGAGTCCTGTTGAAGGCATAAGACATGAAGGACAAAAAGGAAACAAAACAGATAACAGGTCAATAAAATGAAACAAACATAAACACAGATTTTGTTTTTTCTTCAGAAGACTTAAGACTTCTTTAGAAAATAAAGCAAACTTGTATGGTATATATTAAGGTATGTAGAGGGATTAAACACAGATCTTGTTACGATGCAATCATTACGGTTTAGCAGAGTCCAGTATATTCCTTATTGGGGTTAGAACAATACATTTCGCTATCATTACCAGGATGTATTTCAATACTTTTCAATACTCTAGAAAAAGACAACACAAAAAAAACTTAGAACAATAACATATCAATCAGTAAATAAAACAAAGACAAACTTTTCTAATGCACACAAATTTAAAATAAATAAAATATAAAACCATCTCTCTCTCTCTTGTCATTTGAAGAGAGGCAGAGATGAAAATAGAGATGTAAAACTGATGTAAAAAAGATTTAATTACTTTCTAAGCTTAATTTAGTGAGAAGCAAAAAGCGCATGGATCGAGCAATGCTTAGACTTTTTAAAAGATGAGATCAACGTCACAATGTTGCCAGATAAAGCAGTGATGATTTGAGAGTAAAGTAGGGATATTACCAGAAAAAGGTTTCTATGGTTATCAATATCTGATTTTTCAAGTCAATTAAAAATGCTTTTTTAATCCCAAAGGTAGAGGAAGTATTGCAGTAATTCATAGGTTGATTTTCTTTCAACCATTTGCTGTCGATTGATGCTGTAGGCAGGAAGGACCTTCTGTAGCAGTCTGTCTAGCATAGGATCTACAGAAGCGTCTGACTGAAGACACTCTGTTGTTGTTTATTAATCTTTTGAAGGGGATGCTGGACCGTTAAGAAGAACATTATGGACAACGGTGAAGAGTTTTATGGGATAGAGCTTTTATTTGAGCTGTGGGTATCGGATCAAGGCTTTGAGCAAAAAACAAAAGAGAAAAACACAACCTCATTACAGGATTATACAAACCCAGAACATACAGTAGCATCGACCAAACTAACAACAATGTATTAATATCTGGGGAAGAAAAAGTCAACTGTTCGGCCAAAATTCTTCTGCAACTTAGGGAATGATCTGATGTCTGGAAATGATTCAGTTCTCGAACCACCAGAATCTTTCATTTAGTCTCTATATATTTAATTTATATTCATTGTTGTGCATAATGTATTGATATTAATATTCTTTTTTCATTCTCCCTTTAGACTGGGTTCCTCCAGCCCTAGTTCTAATTGAAATGACTAAATCACCCCCTCAGCATGCCATTCAGTTTGCCAAAGGTCTGATATTTGGCCATTTATTTCATTCAGTTCACAAAGCACACACACATCTAAGGACAACTGCGTTTTAGGAAAATCCATTTTATCCCAACCATGACAATGACTTTTTATGAATTTAGTGAAAGGAAAGGTTTTAGAACACAATCATCTCTTACTTTACCTCAACACATGCGGTTAAACTGTCTCTATTTCAGTGTGATGACGACAGAAACACGTCTAACTTGAGGAGCATATTTCCAAGCTTCACAACAACATCGTTGATTAAAAGACATCGTGTGAAAACTCTACTAAAATGTTAGAAACTTGTCCCTTATTGTCTAGTGGTCAGGATTCAGCGCTTTAACCGCTGCGGCCTGGGTTCGATTCCCGGTCAGGGAAATTATATTGGGTCACCTACTGGTGGCTGGATGTAGAGCTTCAGTGTTCTACACTAACATGACTGGTGTTTCAGCACTAATAAGTGGGAAAGCAGGTTATTGATTCTTAAACTGCATTTGGTATTATGCAACCTCCCCACTTAGTTGACTGCATATTGTGTTCGAAGTTGATTTTCGTGAGCTAAAAGTGTATTTCTGTAAAAAGAAATATAATGCAACCCATGTGTTGATTCGGTCAGACTTTTCGTGTTGACCATCTGTCTCGGTAAAATCTTCCTTGTAAATGAGGTTACAACCTGTGCACATCACTCAATCACATCTTCCAGGCCCAACTTACTACCTTCTTTTCAAGATCTTGCCCCGTTTTATGTCTAAGGTGTTGTGTTTTTTAATGTGACAGCTTTGGTACTACGACGTGTCAACCCTCAGTGTAACAGGAGATCTTTTCAATTCCTATCTTTTCCATTCTGATACTTGTTTACCAATGCATTTGGGATCTGAAATTTGGATAAAGTTGTCTTTTCTTGAGATACGGTAGCTGCTAGGTCTTTACTATGTCACTTCTACAGAGCTGTTTTTGGGTCAAAAGTCAATTAAATTGACACAACTAAGTGGTGTTTTGCTGATACAACTTTTGTAGGCCATGGCATTACTGACCTGTCATCCAGTGTATGCCAAAGGAAAAAAAAAAATCTTGGCTTGGAATCCAAAGCCGGACAACTGTGTTCAAGAAAAATCCATTTTGTCCCAACCATGACTATGACTTTTTATGAATTTAGTGAAAGTAAAGGTTTTAGGACACAATCATCTCTTACTTTACCTCAATACATGCGGTTAAACTGTCTCTATTTCAGTGTGATGACGACAGAAACACGTCTAACTTGAGGAGCATATTTCCAAGCTTCACATCACATCGTTGATTAAAATACATCGTGTGAAAACCCTGCTCAAAAGCTAGAAACATATCCCTGATTGTCTAGTGGTCAGGACTCAGCGCTTTCACCGCTGCGGCCCGGGTTTGATTCCCGGTCAGGGAAATTGTATTGGGTCACCTACTAGTGGCTGGATGTAGAGCTTCAGTGCTCTACACTGACATGACTGGTGTTTCAGCACTAATAAGTGGGAAAGCAGGTTATTGAATCTTAAACTGCATTTGGTATTATGCAACCTCCCCACTTAGTTGACTGCATATCTCTAATCGTGTTCAAAGTTGATTTTCGTGAGCTAAAAGTGTATTTCTGTAAAAAGAAATATAATGCAACACATGTGTTGATTCGGTCAGACTTTTCGTGTTGACCATCTGTCTCGATAAACTCTTCCTGGTAAATGAGGTTACAACCTGTGCACATCACTCAATCACATCTTCCAGGCCCAACTTACTACCTTCTTTTTCAAGATCTTGCCCCGTTTTATCTCTAAGGCGTTGTGTTGTTCAATACCACACACACACACACACACACACACACACACACACACACACACACACACACACACACACACACACACACACACACCCACACACACCCACACCTTCTTGTCTTTATATTTGTAGCGAGCACCATGTGTTGACTCCAATTCACTTCCATTGATTTTCACCCTTTTCAGCCCTTTCTATGCCCTAACACTGACAAAGAGCCTTGTATTCTTGTCCTAAATTTCTCCAACTGTTTCTCCTAATGTGAACTCAATAAATGTTCTTGCTTACAGTGAATGATTCTAAATGATCCTCGTAAACATCATGCAGTCCACCTGTGTGTAAGTAACTGCTTGTTCCATAGAAATGTAATTCTGCATAATTACCACCCCAATAATTTCATTGCAGCAAAGAAGTAGGCTGACCCGGGTTTGAATCCGACCTGTGGTCCTTTGCTCTGAAAAACGAGCCACCAGTGCCGTAAAAACTAAAAAAAATAATAATAATAAAATAAAACAGAAGTAGGAGGGCTATGACTTCCCATGCTTATCCGGAATTTTGTCCATAGAAATGGCATCGAAGATGAACCAGGAAAACTCTGCTTGACTGAAGATTGATCGATGTTCGAAGGACCAGTAAAAGCCCAAGCAGCTGTAAAAGTTTTGGTTGCACTCTTACGAAAGTAAAAACAATATAAAAAGAAAAGTCATTTGATTGTAAAAAAAACAATGGTCACTACTGATAGAGGCAAGAGGCGCAACATATGATGTAAATAATTAATATGAGTTCACCATTTAGATGTTAAAGATTGGCCTGTTTTTTTTTGGTATAGTCCTGTTTCTCTGACTGTGACTGGCTGGACGTGCTCTCTTCATCCTCTGACATGGGAGCTGTCCAGGTGCTCGTCTGGCTGTGTGTTTCCTGGGCCGCCTGTGGTGCTGGTTTACACTTGCCTTTTGCTCTGCTTCTATCTGTGTCTCTGCTTCTGTGTCCTTGAACCCCAGTCGGCCTCAGATGGCCGCTCACACTGAGCCTGGTTCTGCTGGAGGTTTCTTCCTGTTAAAAGGGAGTTTTTCCTCTCCACTGTCGCTACAAGCATGCTTAGTGTGAGGGATTGCCTTCGAGTGAATGCAATCGACTGGTTTTCCTTAGATAGAAAATTTTTAATCTAATTGACTGGATGATCTGGTGAACTGTAAAGTGCCTTGACATGACATGTGTTGTGAATTGGCGCTATAGAAATAAACTGAACCTAACCATCAACCAAAACAACAACATTCTGCAAAATCTTTTAATACACATGCAGAGCTGTACTGTACGTCTCCAGACCACGTCTTTCATCCCTTTATCCTACTCTCCATATCTTTTAAACAACACAAGTATAAAAATGTTTACAATGAAATTTGATAATTTCAGGCATACCCAAAAATTTTGCATTTTAAACCCAAATATTTTGCAATTTATGTGATAAAAAAACTAAGGAGCTGTGATGGAGCGAAATGAATGCTGTGTTTCCGTTAGAGGAGCTTTGCTGAACTTTCTACTCATTTTATGTTTTACAGTAGATGTTATTTAAATGGTAGCTTGATCCCACATATGGTCACTGTTCTTTTTTTTGACAAAATAAGAAATTTAATTGGTGTTCCCTGGATATTTGTAGTGTCACTTAAAAACATTTTTTTATAATAGCTGACTGACTGCGTTAGACTTCTAGGTCTAGTCTGGAGCATTGGTAAGATTTGATCGTACCAGAGAGAAGATTAGAAAAAGGGAAAAATGGTGAATGAAACATTTGATCAAAAATCACTCATACAAACAACTTGAGAACAAATTTGTTTTTACCAACGGTTCTTGCATGAGGCCCGACATGCAAACAGTTCTCCAAGTGCTTCTCCCTGC